AAATCTTCATCTCCATAAAGCTTTTCAGCAGATGGAAGCATGAAGTGCTCCAAAATCTCCTGACAGCTAGCTGCATTGACCCCGCCCTTGATAAAACACAGTGGACCAACACCAGCAGCTGACATGGCACCCCAGACCATCACTGACTGTGGGTGCTTCACACTGGACTTCTGGCATTTTGGCATTTCCTTCTCCCCAGTCTTCCTCCAGACTCTGGCACCTTGATTTCCAAATGACATGCAAAATTTGCTTTCATCCGAAAAAAGTACTTTGGACCACTGAGCAACAGTCCAGTGCTGCTTCTCTGTAGCCCAGGTCAGGCGCTTCTGCCGCTGTTTCTGGTTCAAAAGTGGCTTGACCTGGGGAATGCAGCACCTGTAACCCATTTCCTGCATACGCCTGTGCACGGTGGCTCTGGATGTTTCTACTCCAGACTCAGTCCACTGCTTCCGCAGGTCCCCCAAGGTCTGGAATCAGCCCTTCTCCACAATCCTCCTCAGGGTCCGGTCACCTCTTCTCGTTGTGCAGCGTTTTCTGCCACACTTTTCCCTTCCCACAGACTTCCCACTGAGGTGCCTTGATACAGCACTCTGGGAACAGCCTATTCGTTCAGAAATTTCTTTCTGTGTCTTACCCTCTTGCTTGAGGGTGTCAATGATGGCCTTCTGGACAGCAGTCAGGTCGGCAGTCTTACCCATGATTGTGGTTTTGAGTAATGAACAAGGCTGGGAGTTTTTAAAATATTTTTGCCTGTGCATGTTTGTTTGTCTACTGTGTTAGCAAGATGTCCTATTGGATGGTGTTTGCTAAAACTCTCAAAGTAATCATTAGTGTCTATTACCTTTTGCAGTCAACCAATTACAAGGTGACTGCCACAGCCAAATGACCAACGCAAAAATGGCTAAAATTCAGTCAACAAAGTCCATGCTCAATAATCCAGGTATACAATCCAACAATTTTCAGTCAGGTCATCTGGACAGTTTCTTTTTTATGCTGAAAGGTTTCACCTTCCATCCAGAAGGCTTCATCAGTCAAGGAAACACACAACACAAAATAGATTCTTCCCCCAACAGCTGACTCCAAAGTGGGTCAGTCAGTTTTACAGAAAGTGAGCTAAAATTTCTTGTGGCAGTAACTGACAGTCATTCACAAAAACATAATTTATGAAGTAACAATTAACATGAGCTTTCTGGATATTGTGTCAAATCACACAGCATTGTTTTGAGCTTTGTTAAAACTCTGGCATGAAAGGCAGAGCCCAAGTTTAGTTAGTTTATTATTCTGGAAAATTAGCTCAAGTGGTTTTACTTTAAAGAGAATTAAAACCAGATGAGAGCGTGGCCCCTTTCACTAATCAAGACTTTCTGTCGTTCTCCTTCAGGCTCTCAGTTCTGGTACGATACCCCTTGCCCCTCCCACCCGCAGCTCCACCAGACCCACGTGCTCCCCGTGCTCCAAACGGGGTCGACCTCGCGCCCGGTCAGACCTCTCGTGCACTCTCTCAGGGCCGTGAAGAGCTCTGCGGAGGTGTCGCTCATGCAGGAGGCGAGTCGGATCACGGCGCAGGTCCGTCACCGTTTTTCGATGTCACAATCATAAAACATGAGTTTTAATGTTCATGCCCGGACTTAAAAATCCACCTGGAATCTCTGTCTTTCAGGCTTTTAGAAGAACGATGGCGTTGTCTCAGGGGGATGTAGACGAAGCTGTGCTGTTTGCCAAGGTGACTAATAACATCCTCTAACCAGGGGGGTCAAACTTTTTCATATGTGGGACGGAACTGTTAAGATGAAAGTACACGACGCGGGCCACAAAAATTTGAATTTAAGCTAATTTTCAAGAAAAGTGCGCATTCCCCCCCCCTTTCCCCCATTTTTAAACTCAACATGAACAGTATTTTGGAGAAAAGACAAACGTTTACTACCGTAAATTCCAGACTATTGAGTGCACCCAAGCTGCGCCCACTAAAAAAACAAACAAACAAAAAACAACATTTTTTTACATATATAGGCCGCACTTGTGTATAAGCCACAGGTGTCCATGTTGTAACATGAGATGTTTACACAGAAAGATTTTTTTGAACTTTTAATTAAATACAACCGGTAACATACACAAATATGTACAGTAAATGTTTTTTTCTGAACAGCGCCTGTAACACAGCTGGTAATAAATAAATAAAATAAACAGTAGCCTACTAGGAAATGTCACTTCATCTTCCTCCTCTGGACTAAAACCCCTAAAGTCGTCGTCTTCAGTGTCAGAATTGAACAGCCTCTGAAAAACTTAATCACACACGTCCTCAGTCTCTTTTGCTGTTGCTCTATTGCGTCGTCGACAGCCAGATCGATCACCTTTAACTTGAAAGCTGCATCATCTGCATTTCTTCGTGTGTTTTCCATGATGGGGGTCTGTGCATGAAGCACAAAATAACTGATCTGAAGAATTTAGTGTGAGTGTGATGGATTTATGGTAATTCAAAGTTTCATTGGTCCACTGTGACTTGTTTGGTAATTTCATTGGTCTAATTTTTTTAATCTTTATTTATACGAGTAGTTTTATTGAGTCACGAGGACTCACCCCCCCCAAGATAGACCTGTTTTGGGCAGCTATGTGAGCGCCCGGGTGTGACGAGATTAAATGTTTTTGTGGCATGAAGCTTGTTAGCCCATGAAAAAATAAAATAAAATCAATAAATTAGCTGCAGCATTGTATAAGCCACGGAGTTAAACGCCTGTGATAAAAGTAGTGGCTTATAGTCCGGAAATTATGGTAATTTTGGTGTAAAAGGTGTTATAAACTGTTGTATTTCCAAAACATTAAAAGCTTCATAAACATTAAACTAACATAAAAAAAAAAAAGATTTAATTTCTTTGATATGTTTGGTCTATAGATTTTGTTTTCTTGTGCTTGGAAAGTTAATTTTAGTTTATTCTCAGAAACAAAAGTGTAATATGAATATGTTGTTTAAAAACTGTCACTAAAAAGAGGGTTGATCACCTTTTTGGACCACGGATGACCCAAACAGGTGATCGAAGTACTAAAATATCCTACAACTGGCAATCACTGCAACAGATTCATAGAAGGGACACTAATAAAGTTGATCAACTTGTATGTAGATACCACTTTATATTCTTTTACAGAATATCCAGTTTCCCTCTTTCGATTATTAAATCAACTATAATTTTTTTTCTTTGAAAATGCTATATTTCTCCAGGTTTTATGAATTATTGTCCAAAAGCCTACTTTTTGGTAGAAATCGGTAAAGGTTTGTGGTGCTATGAACCATAAAATAATTTTAAAAAGGATTGTATTTAACTTATTGTACTTAATATTGCTCATTTTGAGAATTTTTTTTCATCTGTTTTGCTGTTAAACCTAATAGTTATATATAAAATGTAGCCACATTAAATTTGCAGAAGGTCTGCATCAGCCTTCTAAGCCTGCGGGCCAAAATTAGACCGTTCTTAAATCACAGTCATGGATCACACAAACTCACTCCAAGGGCCGCAAATGGCCATCGGGCCGCACTTTGGTACCCCTGCTTTAAATACTGCCTCACTACTATAAATAATCTGTGATTTGTTGTCTTTTTTTCTGCTTTATCAATATGTTATATTTATTAAATATTTGCCACTCTGAAACAAACGTGAGTTTCTCAGATTTGTCTCAGAAAGTGCAACCATTAAATATATTCTGTCTTCAGTTTGATTTTGAGAATCGGATTCACGGTGCTAACTTCCTGGCGTATCCCCCTGTGGTTGCTGGAGGTAATCGTGCTAACACTCTGCACTACATCAACAACAACCAAATTATCAAGGTAAAAACACATTTAAGGTGCTGTGACCATTATGTTTCCTAAGAATATTATGTTGATAAAGTCATAATCAACCTGAAATGTTTGCTCTACATTCTCACTCCTTGTTTGTCTCATCAGGACGGTGAAATGGTTCTGCTTGACGGTGGTTGTGAGTACTTTGGTTACGTCAGTGACATTACTCGAACGTGGCCGGTGAACGGGCGGTAAGTGTGACTGAATCATCTCAAGATTTGATTAAACTGATTAGAAATAATTTAAAATCTACTTGACAGCAAAACAGCAGAACACTAGGGATGCATGATATTATTGGCATGGTATCGGTATCTGCTATCTGCCGATATTAGCGATAAAGTTAAATATCGAATATCAGCCATTCCATCAAAATAACTCAACGATAAAAAAGTCTCTCTCTCTCTCTCTCTCTCTCTATATATATATATATATATATATATATATATATATATATATACAGGTCCTTCTAAAAAAATTAACATATTGTGATCAAGGTCATTATTTTCCATAATGTAATGATAAAAATGAAACTTTCATATATTTCAGATTCATAGCACACCAACTGAAATATTTCAGGTCTTTAATGCTAATGAATCACTGCAGGAGCTTCATGATATCATCAGCTCGCTGCAGAACAAACACCCCGAGGCTTTTTACGTTGTAGCCGGAGACTTTAACCACGTGAATCTAAAGGACTGTCTCCCAATCTTTAATCAACATGTGACAATTCCGACACGTGGAGACCACACGCTGGACCGTGTTTACATGAACGTAAAAGATGCATACAAAGCCGAACCCCGCCCCCACCTAGGACTGTCAGACCACATCTCAATCTTCCTGGCTCCTGCTTACATGCCCCCGCTGAGACGCTCCAGACCGGTACAAAAGAAAGTTAAATGCTGGATCCAGGACAGTGGCCCCATACTGAGAGATTGTTTTGATCGAACAGACTGGCAGGTTTTCAGAGAAGCTGCTGAAAATGGAGGTTCGCTTGATCTTGACCAATACACATCCTCAGTTCTGGGTTACATTAGTACATGTACTGACACCGTCTCCACTATCAGAAATGTTAAAAGCTACCCAAACAGAAAACCTTGGCTGAATGCAGAGGTGCGTACCCTGCTGGAAGCCAGGAACACTGCCTTCAGGTCTGGAAACTCAGAGGAGCTGAGTAGGACAAGAAAAGAGCTGGTTGCTGGTATTAAGAGGGCCAAGGCCACATATGCAAAGAGGATCGAGGGTCAATTCATCTCACAAGACCCTCGGAGCATGTGAAGGGGCATTAAGTGCATAACAGATTATAAAGGAAGGAGTGAACAATGCCCCAAAGACCCATCTCTGCCTGATGCCCTCAACAAGTTCTATGCACGCTTTGAAGACCCGAACAGACCACCCAGCACCAGACTCACCTCACCACCGGATGAAGAGCATCTCAGCGTGACCTCAGCAGAAGTAAGGAGTACCTTCAGGAGGATTAATCCGCACAAAGCAACTGGCCCAGACAACATCCCCGGAAAAGTGTTGAAGGAATGTGCTGATCAGCTCTGTGAGGTGCTGGCAGACATCTTTAACACCTCACTTACCCTGGAGACAGTTCCCACCTGCCTGAAGACTGCCACCATCATCCCAGTCCCAAAAAGCTCTACAGTGACTGGTCTGAATGACTATCGGCCAGTGGCCCTCACCCCG